AGAGCGATGAACAACTGGCTAGTACAAGTAGGCAGCGATATCTTCTGTCACAGCAGGCATTTGTCACTCCATTGTATTTCTACAAAGAACTCCCCAGGGTGGAGAACTCCTCCAAGCCCCAGCCTTTGTTTTTTTCTGTTTTCCACTGACTGAACTGAGACTCAATTTATTTCAAGGACATTGACTAGAAAGCACCCTCGAGAACTCAGCTAGTTTCATGACCTCACAGCAAAATTCATGTGACCACTCTCTGACGTTTCAAGATTTCTCGGTGTTGGCCTTATTGATATTTGGAACAGGATAGTACACTCATGTAGGGGACAGTCCTGATAGTTGTGGGAGGTTTAGCAGTTTTCCTGGCCTCTACCTACTAAACTCTCCCCAAGTGCTCCTTCTCCATTGCTGAGTTGGCAGTTAGAAAGGTGTCTGAGTATGAAAATAAGCTAGGGAGACGAAACAGACTAAAAGGCTATGGGCAACCATCTGTGCCCCATGACCGACTCTTCCCTCCATATGCACTACCTTGATTGTCTGAATGTGAGAAATTAGCTTTATGAGCAGACCAAAATTGGCTTTAGACATCACCTAATATGACCGTGTCTTGAAATGGATTAACTATGGGACTTCAGTGAGAAATGGATCCCATCTTCTGCTTCAGTACAAAGGGACAGTTTAGTCTAATACCTCCTGGTGTGTACTAGCTAATGGCTTTGGACAAGTCACTTACTCTGCCAATGGTGGATCATATTATGCCACAATCAAGGAGTTAATGAGATAGAATGTTCACCAACCAAGATAAAGAAACCAGAACTTGCCACCCCCAACACCCTAGGTGGGCATAAGGATTAAAGTGAGTTGAAGACAACAGAGACAAAATGAAAAGCAGCTTTCTTCTCGGCCTTCTTTTCCTGCAAGTCAAGAAAAATGCTTAACTTCTATCACTTGCAATGATAGAAATCCAGATAACAAAACTGACAAAGAATCTTTGTGTTACATGTATTTCCCTTTCACAGTTTGTAGCCTGAAAGTCTAAACTCTTTTCTCTACAAGTTTATTATTTTCTATTATCCAAATGATATATAAGTTCTCAGTCGTAACTGCTTCTTAAAGTTCCTACTTATTGTGAGCACATTAAAAAAATTATATGTCAAATAAAACTAGTCTCCCATGAATCTTTTCCCTGTTTAATTTCTACAAATCAAACCCAAAATCTAAGAGACAGAAAATGTTTGTCCTCCCAAACATTAGGAAAGACTAACTTTTCACTGGTACCAAACCATTCCTGGAAGATATTGATGCCCAAGGATGTATTCCATGACTTTTGGTTCTAAACACCCCAAACTAACCAACAACTACAGACTCTAAAGCATCTCAATTTACTCTAATGCTTCCTGGAGTGTACTAGCTAATAACAATGGACAAGTACCGTAATCTGCCCGTGGCACATAATATTGTACCAAATTTGAGGAATTAATAAAATAGAATGGGCAAAGACCAACACAGGGAAACCAGAATATGCAACCCCCAAAATCTTACACAGGCATAAGGATCAAATTGAGTAGAAGACAACTGAGACAAAGTGAAGAACAGTTCTCTTCCCTCCCCTTTATTTGCCAAGAGGTGAAGAAAACCCTTTCCTTTTTCCAGAAACCCCTCACCTCTTGGAGCAGAAAGAACAGAGCAAGATAATGTTAAACTCATCTCAGCATGCAGGAACATCACTAGCATCACCAAAATCTCTTTTGCTACTGATGAACAATAGGATGTGTTTTAATCCACCAGCTATTGAAGTATGGACTCATCCTGCCATGTTCAGACAGTGCCACCAGGTTCTACTCTATCCTCCAACTTCTAGCATATGCTAGAAGTGCTTTTATGAGATCTATGCCATGATTATCTTCCCTACTGACTGTCCCTCTGTCTGGGACCTGAGCATTCACTCAGAACTCATTTCTTTGTCTCCACAAGGCCATCCATCACCTTTCCTTTAACACACCCTCAGTCAGTATAGTATCTGACCCATCATCACTCACCAGTGACCATTAACCCACACAGGAAGATTATGAGGCTCTTTGTAAAAAGTTTCCTTAAGGTCTCTTCTTATTAAACCAAAAGTTTGTAAAATGAAAAATTTACCAATATGAATAGTGTGATAAAGGAGTAGCACAGAATCTGAAACTTCCCATGCTGGCTGAAGGCAGAAGGACCTTTGGGTACGAAGAAATACTTCATGAAAATCCATATGCTCATGGCCAGGCCCAGGGCACACCCAAAAAGGAGGAGTTTCTCCAACAAGGCAATCATGATGCTTTTCTTCCTTCAGGGTGAGTTGAAGGTAATTCAGAGTGAGTTGAAGATAACTTGTTTTCTGGAGAAGATGATAAGTACCTGTCTTACAGACCAGGCACCTTATATCTTGTAGGGCAGTTCCAATGACTGGTTGACTCTATGCTACTGGTAGACTTTAGCACACTGGGAACAACCTCCTGTGAAGTGATTGCAACAGATCCCTTTAGGAAAGGCCTTGTCTGCCAAAGAGTACAGGCCTGGCTATTCTGTCTGCATGGAAGGCCTTGCTTTCTCATTGCACCCTAACTTTCATCACTCTGGTCAAAGATGGATGGCCAATGCACAAGAGTTTATGAGAGATGGATGCAAACTATGGCAAGACCTCTGGGAGACTGTGAAAACACAGCTACGGCAGGTGTTGTGTGGCTCTGCCCTCAGTTGCCAAATCAGAGGTTAAAGAGAATGTCTGTGTGCCAAGGTAAACTAAGGAAGAGGAAGCAAACAATAGGGGTGTGGGGTAACCACCTGTACCCCATTTTTGACTCTTCTCTCCCTACACATTAGCTTGATTGGCTGAGTGTCAGAAATGAGTTTCATAATTGCCCTATGTAAAAGCAATCTCTTATTTACTCTTTTTATGCTTTGAGTGGTTGGACCTTGAAGACCTAAAATGGACCAGTTCTTTCTTTTCTTTTTATTATTTATTTATTTATTTGGGAAGGGCCTACAGGGTGTTCAGGGTCTCACTACTAGATCAGACGCATAGTGATCTGCCTGTTTGCAGCCTCCCAAGAGCTGGGATTACAGGTGCACGCTACCACGCCCAGTCTCAATTGCCATTTCAGTGCACCCTGGGAGTAAGTCCAACATGGCAGGCCTGGGGATTGAACCCTTGGCCCCTGCACCTGCTTGTAGGTGCTTTAATCTGCTGAGCTATTTGGCTGGCCCTTGGACCAGTTCTTTCAGTGTTAGCAAGTCTTCAAAAGTAGCAAACCCCAGCCTCTAAGCATATTTTCCACACAAAAATCAAGCAATCAGGAGAGTACACCATCAACCATCTCCTGTCCTTGGTTTTTCCAAGCTGGACCACCATGTACCTGTCATAACCATGGCAAATCCAAGTACCAAACACCCAGAGAGAGCCCTGTGTCCAGAGCATGCTGAAGTCATGCTAACTAGCCCATCCCAATCCTACTACCACTACCTAGGGAAGCCACAGGACAGAATCCTGTCTAAATTGTCCCTTTTTTCCCATTAATCAACTGTCCTGCTCCCCTGGAGCCCATGGTGTTGGCCTACTCTCTTCTTGTGGGAACTCTAGCAATTTATTTTATTGCAGTACTGGGGATTGAACTCAGTACTCTGCACTCGCCAGGCAAGTGCTTATTCTACTGAGCTATCTCCCCGGGCCCCAATCTAACATTTTAACAGACTCATTTCCTGAGCTGTTGGCCACGTGGTGTCACACAGTCTGTTAATGCACAGTTAAAATAAAATCAGGGGCTGAGTGCAGTGCAGCGTAACAGCATGTGTTTGGCCTGTGCCAGGCTTTGAGTTCAATCCCCAGCAACAGCAAAAGCACACCAACCCCATAGGGTTTTGTCATATGAGCTAACAACAGCACACTGAAGTTAGAGAAGAAAGAGGGAAGAGGACAAACGTCTTGTCACTGATTTCTTCAATGAACATGGAGAAAAAGTACTTAGCCTGCACCAAGCATATTTCTATGTATCATGGGCATAGAGGTATGCAGGGAGAGACCTGGCCCATGGGACCTGCAGTGTGATAAATGGTTTCCCAAAATATATAACAAGAAGAGCAGAGTATAACAGAGTTCAAATAAAAGACTTTGCCTACAAAATTAAGATGAGTTAATGAAAGGATCCTAAGATGGGATATCCTGAAGGCTGTGGAAGTGCTTTGATTCAAGTAATGGGTATCCTCATAAAGAGTCAGAAAAAGATGCACAGAGACACAAGGACACATAGCATGGGAAGACAGAGGAGAAAATTACGGTGACACTATCATCAGCCAAGAAACATCATCTGGCCATGAGAAACTACAAGATTGAGGAAGTGAGATTTCACTCTAGAGCCTTCAGTGAGAACTCTGCCCTATTGCCTCTTTGACTTCAGAATGCTGCCCTTAGCGCAGTGAGAGAATGTATTTCTGACATTCCAAGCCATCACATCAGTAACAATTTGTCACAGCATTCCTACATGATGAATACATGGTTTATTCACTGACAGAGTGTGAGGGTCACAGATCAAATGCAGATTATATTGGATGATACAGAGTAAATTGGTAGTTCTATACTGATGTATTTCTTAGCTTCCTTTTTGCCAGACAAACCTGCTTTACATAACTGAAAGGAAGGAAGCTTTATTTGGTCTCACAGTTTGAGAGATTGCAATCTGTGGTTTCCTAGATCCAAGGCAGAAACATCATGGAGGAAGAGAAGGGCAGAGCAAAGCTACTCATCTCGTGGGGGCCAGGAAGCACAGTTAGGGGGAAGGAGTTTGTGTAAAGACGTATCCCTTACAGCCATGACCCCACTTATCTCCCTGTGGTGGATTAATTAATGGTCATTTTTTTTTTTTTTAGCAAGAGCTGACTTTATTTTTATTTTTTATTTTTGGAATCAAGTCAACAACTTTATCATCAGTCACAAAACTTCATACAAAACAAAACTTAGCAAATGGATCAGAGTTAAAAATATGGAACGCTTCACAAATTTGTGTGTCATCCTTGCACAGGGACCATGTTGACCTTCTCTGTCTTGTTCCAATTTTAGCATATGTGCTGCCAAAGCCAGCACAAATACTGGCTTTAGAGTGGGGCATGATGGGACACACATGGCTGTAACCTGCTCATCACTCTGGGAAGCTGAGGCAGGAGCACCTCAAGACTGAGCCCAGCCTGGGCTACTTAGCAATGTGGCAAGAATCTCTTTAATTATGTGTGCTCCTTTCTTATCACTGAACTCCAACTGAGCCAAAGCCTATCAATTTTGCCAAATACCACATCTTGTCTTTGCTATATTTTATCTTTGACAATGGTAGATTTCTGCCGGTTTGTGTGGCTTGCCAGGCAGTTGTGGAGGATAAACAATTTTATTCTTTTTCTCCCACTTGAGAGAAATGCCCAGAGGAGCACCCAAGTGGATGTGTAACTGGGGTGAAGCGCTGTGTGATGGGAGAAGCCCCAAAGCCAGCAGCCCCTGGCCTCTCAGGCTCTGTATCCATAATGTACCCAGCTCCCCCAGCACAGCCACCGCCATCTTTCTTCCCCCTAATGATCAATTTGTGACATACAGCTGAACTGAATCAGGTTGGAGCGAGGTATGGAAGGCTCACCTGAGGATTGTTGTCAGCAGCATAAGAGGAGACCTGGAGGGAAAGATGATATGGTTGTGTTGATTCTTCTGGATAAACATGTCGAGCTGGCTTTCCTGATATGAATTCAGCTCTTCTCATTGCTGGAGAACCTCAAAACCTAGATGTCACTGTGGATTGCTGCAGTTCTTTTTTGGGGAGTTCTGGTCCTTACCTTGAGTGTCACTTCCTGGCTTCAGTGAGAAACCTCAGCTTGCAGGTACAGATCCTTCACCTTGATGGTGCAGACTTTCTAGCTTCCACCGCTGACCTTTGGGCCTTCTTGCTACAGATCCTTTGTGTAGATTTGCATGAGACATTGTCATGAGCTCTAGGCCTTCAGCTGGACTTGTGCAGGACATTACCATGGGGTCTAGGTCATCAGTTGGACTCATACAAGATATTGCCTTGGGATTCAGGCCCTTAGCTGGATTCATTTGGTCTCTAATGTGCGGACAGGTTTCCTGCACTCTTTTGCACTTGACTGTTTGGATGAATATTATGAAACAATTCTATAAATTATGTGTCCTGTATGAAATCATTTCCCTTGAAAGCCCTGACTACAACATCTCTCCTTCTAAATAAGCTATGGAGCTACAGATTGACCAATGGATTAATCGATTGGTAAAGTAGTTTCCTCCTATTCACTCTTACTCCAGTCAAGTTAACAATCAAAGTCAACTATCACATTAGCTGTGGGTGAAGTGTTTCACAAAATGTTCATAGATGGAAAAATTTAGTACCATCTGAAATCAGATGAGACTTCTGCAATGTGGGTAATTGAAGGCAGAGGGAACAGCAGTTGGGAAAACTCTGAGCAAAGGGGAATCAGCAGGTTTCAAAGACAACAAGGTCACCATGACTGCAAAACCAGGATAAGGGCAGAAGGTAGGAAGAGGTGAGATGTTACAGGAGGGGACAGCATCACAAAGTACTGTGACAATGGTGAAGAATTTTTTTTTTACATTAGAGTAAAATATTGTACCCTAATGAAGAGGAGTAATATGAGCTATTAATATTTTTCAAAGGGCTGCCAAATAGCTCAGTGGATTAAAGCACCTGCAAGCAAGCGCAGGGGCCAGGGATTCGATCCCCAGGCCTGCCATGCCAGCCCCACCCCTAGGGTGCACTGAGATGGCAATTGAGAATGAAAGTGGTGGCACATGCCTGTAATCCCAGCTCTTGGGAGGCTGTACACAGGTGGATCACTATGAATCCTATCTAGTAGTGAGACCTTGAACACCCTGTAGACCCTTCCCTAAAAATACACACACAAATATATATATATATATATATATATATATATTTTTTTTTTTCAAAACTTACTTTCATTTAGCACTTCCTCCAGACAGAAGTTATAGTGCTCCCATGGGACTCAGCAGCACACTCCTACATGTTTGTTGGAAAGCATTAAAACTGGGGGCTCAAAGAGATATATGTATGCAGTGTCGCAGCAACATTGCTCTCAGCAGCCAAAGAATGGAGATGTCCTGGTGCTCACTAACATATGACGTATAAATTCAATTTGTTGTATCCACAAGATGGACATGACTTAATTATTGAAAAAAATGAGTAGTAAGGATTTCTCTATGCAGCTCAGACTCATGGTGATCCTCCTATTTTCAGCCTCCCCAGAGCTGGGGTTATAGGCATGTGCCTCCACGCCCACACTCTAATTTTATTTTTTTTTTAATTTAGTTTTTTTGTTCCTTTTTGGGTTTTTTTTTTCTCTGAATGCCTTCAGGGCAGGTTTGGCTGGTTTGGGTTGTGGGGATCGAACCCCAGCAACCTGAGCCTGACTGCTTTGTTGAAGCAACCACTTAAAGAACTGAGCTAAGGGGCAGGCCCCCTGTTGGTACATTTTAGATCTACATAATGATCATATTTATCATAGGGAATTTGTACATGTACAATGCACACTTTGATTCCTCTTTCTTTCCCAATCCGCTCTCCTTTTTTCCAACTTGTCTTCCTTGCCCTATTTACAAAACTTCATTTCCATTTTACCTTTTAAAAAATTGTTATCATCCTTTTCCCTCTCTGTTTCACTCAAGTGGTTTTGCCAGCTTTCAGTGGAATTCTTAATGTCCTGGACATTGGTTTGAATCTGTTTCATGCATTCTAATTCTTTCCTGCACTGCTCATTCAATGTTTTCCAATTCCCTTCTATATTTTTATCTGTGTCTTCCATCTATGTTTTTAATCTGTGTTTTCCTTAGATGTATTGAGCAATTCTTTCGTGATTGTTGTCATTTCTTCGTTTACCTGAGAGATTATTTCTGATCTGATTTCCAATAGACTGATGGAGATGTTTCTTTACTTTATTTGATATCATCTCAGAAATTTCAGATGCGTGCCTTCCAATCTCTTCTATGACCTCACTTCCTGGACTTGTTTTGACTTGGCTATAGGTCTGAGATTGCCTTTTGTTCCTTCCTTTTGTCATTTTTTGCAGTGATGGCGGGTGAGCAGGGTGCAGGTCACCAAGGCGCTCAGGAGAGTGGGAAGGAAAGGCAGGCTCACCAAAGCTCCTGCTGTGTGTGGTTCAATATGGTTTCTACCTCATTAAGAATAGGGGAGCAACTACCTTGGTCTTAAACATACAGTAAAAAAGTATGAAGACGAAATATAGGAAGTAAAGTCATGATGTTATGTTGAGCTGCAGGGAACTCAGGTCAATAATTTCTGACATTGCCAGTTAAACAGAAGACCCAATGCTATTATGGGCTACTGGACTCCTTTAGAATACTTTGCTGAGTTTACACACCTATAATATTCAATAAAAGAACTTAGAAAAAATGGGGTATACAGATGAATGTCCATTTTGTATCTGTGTATTCAAAGTGGTTGGGATAGATATATAGTTACATTCTCTTAATGAATAGAATGATTTGTTCTAATGGTGTTTGTAAATAGGATCTCAAGTCCGCATCTTGTACAGCAATTAACCACTAAGAAGAATGTATGCAGTGTATTAGTTATTGAAACTGTCCTAGCAATTTGATTTGAAACTGTCTCATTGCTATCTGTTTATCAATAAAATTATGAAAAAAAATAAAATTAAAAAAAAAAGAATAGGGGAGCAAACTGTAGTTCGAGAAGGATCCAATGATGATGAGTGAAGACCAAAGTTGTGCAAGGCTCTCTCGATGGTGTATTGGTGCAGGGTAGTGCTCCCCAAGGCTCCTACAGGTCACTGTGGTAGTCACATCTCCCTGGTGGTCTTCAGGTCAAGATGGGGCAGCCAGGAACTCCATCAGGAAGGCTGGGAGGGGGCAGGGGCTAGGGCTTCCAAGTCTCCCTGGAGGTTTTCAGGGTGAGAAGAGGTGCTCAGACTGAGCAGAATGGCTGAGGAGTAGGGCTATCTCTTTTTGGGACAGGGTTTCACTATGCAGTTCAGGCTGGCCTTGAACTTACTTCATAGACCATACTGACATTGAACTTGCAGTGATCCACTTGTCTTAGCTTCCCAAATGCTGGTCAAACAGATATTTGCCTCAATGTCTGATACTTTTTATATCTCAATATAATAAAAGTAGTTAATACATTGGTGTATCATGTTGTGAATGATTCCCATTCTGACTGGAGTGAGATGAAATTACAGTTTAAGTTTGATTTGAACTTCCTTAATGACTACAGTTTTTGAACATGTTTAATGTACTTATTGGCTAGTTGTACTTCTTTTGAGGTTTGTCTTTTATCCTTTATCCTATAGAAACATCAAATCAAAATGGAATGAACGGGGCTGGTGAGATGGCTCAGTGGTCTAAAGCACCTACTTAGAGCAAGCTTGGCAAAGCACAGGGACCGCGGTTT